TCCCGGCGGCGCAGGGTCCAGAGGCACGGGGGCTGCCCAAAGCCGGTAGCGCTGGGGCAGCCCGGCTCTTAAACAGAGCCGAAGAGTCGGGGAGGAGCAGAGCCGCCATTTTCCCGGACATGTTTGGCTTTTCGGCAATTCCCCCCGGACGGGGGTTTGAGTGCCGAAAAGCCGGACGTGTCCGGGAAAAAGAGGACGTATGGTAACCCTAATGTTGGGAGTCGGCGAGGACAGGAAACAGGAAGGAGCGGGGAGGAGTTGAGGAGGCTGGGAGAGTTACAGAGGGTGCAGCAGCAGCAGCTTGGTAAAGAGGTTTCCACCATAAAAATAAAGTCCTGTTGAAGTTTGTTAGTACCGGGCCTAGTGTATACAACAGTTTTGTGCCCCATTGCTCCCCATGTCTGTGCCGGGGGGCTGTGCCCCCTATCTACCCGTGTCTGTGCCGGGGGGTCAGATCTGTGGGGTCCCCATGAGGATATGTACCACATCCCCCCACCCCCCATCTCTCTGGTCCAGGGGGTCTGTACCGTGGGCGGGGGGTGGGGAGAGGCGGCCCCCGGCTACCTGCCCCCCCTCCCGGCCGCGCCCTCCGAGTCGTTGGCCCCAAACTGTCGGGCGTCCAGCCTGTCCTTGTACTGCAGCTCGGGGGTGACCATGCGGGTGCAGAGCTCCTGGTCGGCGGGCCCCAGCCCCGGCCGCAGCGCGTAGCCCAGGATCTGCGCCTGGCCGAACTGGAAGGGGCGGATCTGCTTGTCTGGGATGCCGGCCGCCTCCATGGGGCCCCCGCCCTGCAGGCAGTGCTCGGCCAGCGCCCGGCGCCGCTCCCGCAGCCGGGACACCTCGGCCCGCAGCCGGGCCGGCCCGAAGGCCTCCACACGGCGCCAGAAGCTGCGGTTGAAGTGGGTGTAGAGCTGCCAGTCCAGGGCGTTCCAGGCCCGCAGCCGGGCGGCCTGGGCGGGGTCCAGCGGCCGCACGGCCCGGGGGTTGCGCCCGTTGTGCCGGAAGGCGTCCACGTCCTCCTCCGCCCAGCACAGCGCCTCCCGCAGCAGCACCAGCGACTCGTCAAAGTGCTCCATCAGCAGCACCAGCGGGAAGGTCCGGTCCAGCCAGGCCAGTACCGCCCGCATAGCCTCGGGGCCCGGCGTGGCCGGCGGCGCCAGCCCGAAGTCGAACCACAGCAGGTTGCGGGCGTAGTGGTTGCCCCGCTCGGCCGGGTCGTAGAACCGCTCGGGCGCCGCCAGAAACTGGGCCAGCGAGCCCACCCGGCGGAAAGCCGGCGCCACCCCCCGGTAGTAGGAGAAGGCGGATTCGGCCAGCGACCCCGGGTCCCGCACAATGGAGAAGTAGAAGCTGTCGGGGGGCATCACTTTCTGCACCTGGGGGAGAGGAGCAGGGGGGAGAGTGGGGCGGGGGGAGGAGAACCCTCAAATCCTTCCTCCTGGAACCCCCCGTGTTCCCCCTCAGAGCCCCCCAGGCTCTCCCCCATACCTCCTCACAGCTCCCTCCAGAGTCCCCCATGCTGTCTTCTTCCAGCCCCCCCAGACCCCCTCCATGTGCGCCCCCCCGAATGCACGCTCCCTGGTCCCCCCAACCTCCCTCCCCTGTGCTCCCCCAAATACACGCCCCCAAGTTCCCTCCCCCATTCTCCCCCCAAATGCAAGACCCCAGCCCCCTGAGTCCCCTCCCCTGTGCTCCCCCCAAATGCACACTCCCTGAGTCCCCTCCCCCCACACTCCCAGACCCCCGAACCACCTCCCGTGCTCCCCCCAAATGCACGCCCCCTGGTCCCCAAGCTCCCTCCCCCATTCTCCTCCCAAATGCAAGACCCCAGCTCCCCTGAGTCCCCTCTCCCGTGATCTCCCCAAATGCATAGCCCCTAGCCCCCCGAGCCCCTCCCCTGGGCTCCTCCGTCTCACCTCGGGCAGGTCGAAGCGCATGTGGTGGCAGAGGATATCGAAGCTGGGCCCCCCCGGCCTGTAGCCCTTCACCCGCCGGGCCTGGAAGGGGTAGGGGTACCCAAACTGGTAGCGGGGGGGCAGGGCGAAGCGCAGGCCCCGTGTCTCCCCGAACCGGTGCAGCAGGTTCACGATGGTGCTGCTGCCCGTCTTGTGTGTCTTCAGGAAGACGATGTGGCGCCGGGGCTGGCAGGGCCGGGGGGACAAAGGGCTGGAGGGGGCCCCCTCCTCAGCCCACCCCCGGGGAGTGACCGCAGGAGGGGCAGCCAGTCTGGGGAGCCCCTGGAACAAAGGGGGGAGGTGAGAGATGGACAGAGACCCCCCTGACACCCAACTATGGGGGATCCCCTCCCCCCGCAGGGCTCCCAGCCCCCTCCAGCCTTTGGGGGCACAGAGGCCCCCCTCTAGAACCCATTCCCTCCCCCCCAGGGATCTCCCAACCTGGAGGGGGGCATCCCCATGTGACCCCCGGGCTCAGAGAGCTTGACAGCTGGCTCAACCTGACCCCTGCGCTGCCCTCTGGAGCCCGTCACCTCCCGCCCCCGTTAATACCCTGGCCCCGGCGGGAGATCGGCCCTTTCAGCCCCTGCCTCGCGTTGCTGGCTCGTGTTCAGTCTGCTACCCATCCAGACCCCCCGCTCCCCGTCAGCAGCGCAGCCACCTCTAGCCAGGAGCCCCCCGTTCGTGGGGGCGGGTGTGATTTTTCCTTGGCTCTTGTCTGTGCTGAGTTTCGCCAGGTGGATTTCCAACCCCTCCTCCAATTTGTCCGAGTCACTTTGAATTCTGATCCCGTTTCCCTTGCTGGCTCCTGAGACTGTCCTGCGGGCCTGCCTCAAAAGCCAGACTAGAAAGAGATCTGTCCGGTCTGCCACTTGCCCCGCATCCCCAGGCAGGTCGGCCCGTCAGTGACAGAAATGACACCGGGCTGGCAGGGTTTGTTTGTGACGCCGGCTGCTCCTTGTCACCCCGTTCCCGTCCAGGGGCTCCCCGCTGGGTTGTCATTCCCTGCGTCCTCTGTGTTCCCCTTTGCAAAGACCGGTGCTACATTTCCCCTTCTCCAGGCCTCCCCCATCTTTCCAGGAGTCCTCCAAGATCATCGCTAATGGGTCTCAGATGACTTCAGCTAGTTCCCGCAGGAGCCAAGGCTGAATTCGAGCCCTGCCAACTCAGATACGTCCAACGTAGCTACGGGGTCTTTAGGCTCTTCCTTTCCCCGTTCAGCCAGTGTCCCTTCCCTGCAGCCTGGCAGAGAAGGGGTAACTCTGTTCTCCTCAGGAACACATTCACTGCGGATGCTCTGGGGACGTTGGGGTTTTGTACCTGGGAGGTCGCCCTCCGGGCACCCACCCGGGTACGGCCCGAATGGTGGCTGGTTACAGTATCACCCTGCGCCATGACTGCCCGTTTGCCGGGATCGGGTCAGAGGCCCTGGCGCTTTGCTGCAATCCCCGGCACTGAGCGGACGCTGGCTGTTTCGGACAGATCCCCGCAGGGGAGAACATCCGTGCGCCAGCCAAGAGCGGCAGGACAGTGGCGTCCGTGTACAGTTTGACCTACGAGCCTGGCGTTCGCAGCGAGAACGGCTCACTCCAAAATGTGGTTATTGCTGCCCTGCTGGGTCAGGCCGAAGATCCAGCACCAGAGCTTCGGGGGAGTTCTGGAGAGATCTGTCCCGACTGCCACAGCTGGCAGAGAGAGGTCTAGGGACGCCCAGAGCATGGGGCTGCATCCTGGACCATCTCGGCTAGTAGCCATTGGTGGACTTAGCCTCCAGGAACTTCTTGTTTGAACCCAGTTATCCTTTTGGCCTTCACAGCATCCCCTGGCAAGGAGTTCCGCAGGTTAGTTGTGTGACAAAGTGCTTCTTGTTGGTATAAAACCTGCAGCCTGTTAATGTCATCAGGTGACCCCTGGTTCTTGCATTGTGTGAAGGGGTAAATAACACTTCCCTCTTCACTTTCTCTGCACCATTCCTGGTTTTATAGACCTCGATCTTGTCCCCCCGAGGCGTCTCTTTTCCAAGCTGAACAGCCCCTGTCTATTTGGTCTCTCCTCATACGGGAGCCGTGTCGTCAGACGCTACCGGGGTGGTGCTCTGCTCTGGTCAATGTTGGTATCAGTCGGCTGCGTGCGTGTTCCCTCTGTGTGCTGCCCCGGCTCTGCGCAGATCGCTGGCACAGCAGACCCCCGGGAGACCCCCCCCATGACCACAGACTCTAGTAAGATACGAAGGCACCTGGCCAGGTTTATTGTTGAAGAGGAACACAGTCTGGCTCCCCGGATTAGATATCCAAGGTGCTGCTGGTACATATGTGCTCACTGGCAATGGAGCAGCTCAGTCAGTGGCGGGACTTTCCATTGCCCCCTCGGCCTCACAAAGATATCTGCTCAGGGGTGTATTCTCATACACAGTGACAAACAAGTTACACATCACTCCTGACGTATTGAGGGGCAACCCCTCTACGCAGCAAGGTGCCGCTTCTCACCTTGTATGTGTTGGTTCGAACAAAACAATTCTATCCATCATATTCCCCTTTTGCCCCCGTCTTTAGGACGGGTCAGCCTGTTCCTTGTTATCTGCGTGGAATGTGCCAGTACCCGAGTGTCCTGTTACCATGTTTCTATCTCCAGTATCCCATATACTCCAGGTATGTTTATGCACCAGCAGCCCTGGCCTTGCCAACATCTGGGAGCAGGGCAACATCTTCACCATGACTTCAGTCCAGGCCTCTGGCCTGGCCCCGGGCCTCTGATACCAAGGTTTCGATCTCAGGGCCTCCTCTTCCCACAAGCCGTTCCGTACCCTGGGTTGCCTTTCTCTGAACCCATGCCAGCCCCACTCGCTCCCTTGACAGTGGGGATGGTGGGGCTGGGGTAGAAATTGTTCCGTTTACCCCGTCGTTCCTGCATAAAGCCTTCTGCAAAGTGGGGTTCCTGGGCGGGGCTCGAACAGGAGTTTCCGGGGGGGCTTTGACCCAAGCAAAGCTCCGACAGTGCCCTGGGCCGTGTCCCTCTGTCTCACGCTGGGCACCGTTCCCAGGCAGTTTACTCCCCACGTGCAGGCAGGCCGTGAACACCTCCACCCTCTCGATGCCATGTGTTCCCAGCACTCCTTCCCCGCTACGCAGCGGGCCTCCACTTTCCCCGTCCTCCTCCTGCTCCTGACATGTCGAAAGCACCTTTTCTGCCTCCCGTTCCTGGCCCATCCGGCGCCGTGGTCTGATTTCCTCCTGACCTGCCTGTGCCGTTTGTTCGTTTCCCTCCACAGCCGTTCGCCCGGGTTTCCGCTTTGTGGGGGGACTCCCGGTGGAGCCACATTGGCCCCATCCTAGTCTCCCCACCCCATCCCGTGCGACTGAAATTGCTTGTTCTCCTTTTCCCCTAGGGGCGGCGTGAGGAGGGTAGTGTTCTCCCCTCAGCCCGGGAAGGACGGCAGTGGGGAGGGAGACCAGCCGGCGGGCTCACTGGCTCCTGGAAACCTGGCAGAGATGTGCAGCCCCGCCCCGGCCCGTTCCGTTCCGTTAGGTTCAGGCCCCTGTGGTTCCCCCGCGTGGCCAGCAGGTGGCGCCCCTGTTGCGGCTGCACCCTGGGGACTCACCTCCATTGGAAAGGGGCCCCCAGCAGCTGGAGGGTGAAGCCAATGGTCATGCACACAGCCAGGGCGGCCCCGAGGACCTGGAGCCGGCAGCACCGGGGGAGCGGCTTCATCCTCCTGCCGAGACCAAGAGGGGTCAGTGGGACCCAGGCGTCCTGGCTCCCACCCCCCCTGCTCTAACCCACGAGCCCCCACTCCCCTCCCAGAGCCAGGGAGAGAACCCAGGAGTCCTGGC